GAGAGAGAGAGAGAGAGAGAGAGAGAGAGAGAGAATCAGATTATGCTGTGGACCTGCACTGGGAGAGGCTGGGGATAAGATTGATCAGAGTTGTCCTTGCTTTTTCATATGACTCTTAACATCTTCCTGTTATGGTAGGATATGAGTGTGGACATTGATAGTAGGTATAACGTGATATTTTATTTCAGGATAGCATTAACTAAGCAAAATCAAGAGTCTGTCAGATTCTTCTTGGGTGATAGCCATGAGTTAACAGAAAGAGCCAAACATTTTAGTGTTGAATTTCCATGAATCATTGAATCTGTATTACTGTATAACTCCATCTATGTAGGTGTTTCATATGCATGTCTTCTCTCACTGATAAGATTAGAAGCCTCTAGAAAACAAAAACAGTGGCTCCCACTATTCTGTGCCCTTTAACATCCAGCAAAGCATGGACATCAATAATTAAATTGAATTCAATTGTAATATGTTAAATCATTAATTGCTCCTTGTCTGTTTTTGTGATCTGAAAGGTGATGTGTCCCTGTCCGTGTTATTCAATTTAAGGTTTCAACCCCTTTTCATTTAATTTAAGTTGAATGAGAGAAAATGCAAACTACATGGCACATCATGTATTAATATTAACTTCATATACAAAATATTTTCACAAAAGCAAGACTTCCTCTTGGCTATACTTTAGAAAAATCATATCATTGTACCTTTATCAGATTGGTTAGTAACTAAAGATAATGGGTAAAATTTCTGGAAGGAATTTCTCATTAAAATAAATAAAAACCTAAGGCTAGTCCTAATACAAAAAGTTTGCATACTATTTTTTTCATGGACATTATAAATTCACCAAAGCATCTTACACATTTTGTAGGCTACTTCTCATTAAATGAAAAAAAAGGGGGGGGGGAAGCATTTACCAATGTCCCAAAGAAATAACAATCTAAGTCAGCATGATTATATATTTACTACAAAGTACAGTGCATTTATTCTAACATTTCCCCACCTGGAAAAACTGGGCTTAAGTATCTTCTGTAATCAACAAGCAACACTTGCATTCGTCCCAAAATGCCATGTCACCTTTGTAGCAATCAGACACTTGCTGGAATGGGACTTGGAAGTGGTGGTGGTGATTGCAAAGGTTCTGATGTAGAAACTGCAGATGGAGAGCGGGGCTCTGGGGATGGACATGGAAAGAAGCAGAAAAGAGCCTGGAGAAAAGGCTGTCATATTTGCTTGGAAGAACCGCCAAATCAGAGAGCAGAGAAGATTTCATTGGAGGAGCTCCGTCAACGGCAACTAATCCTGTCATATTGAAAGCAAATTGTAAATGTTCTCTCCAGAAATTGTCCGTCCATTGCAGCTAATCGAACACAAACACATGAATACAGACACGCTCCTGCTGTACCCAAGCCGAAGACCGGCACAGAGACCTACTACAGTGAGCGCGCGCGCAGACACACACACACACACACACACACACACACACACACACACACACACACACCAGCTTGCGGGTTGGCCAGAGCCTTGGAGTCTCAGATTCCACTAGGAACTCCAGAGGGATTGGAATAAGTGTTGCTCTCCCCACACTAATTACTACTTCCCCAGGCACTTTAGTGAAGAAATGAATCCCGCCCAGCTCGCCGGCACATCCAGGTCTCGGTTCTATTTTGGTCTCCAGACTTATCTTCGTGAAGTCCAGGTTTGAAAGTCTCATTTGCTTCTTTTTTGGTGGTTTGGTGTGGAGGGTGGGGGCAGCATCAATTTAACTCCAGTGTAAATCGCGAACCTGTCCCACACTGTCCAAGTGATTGGGACCGGTGTGGGGTGCGCGACTGTGCTTGCGCGCGCGCAAGCCCCGCAGCTCCTGCCAGAGCCTTTGGGTCCGTAGTCTCCCCGCCTCCCCCGCCCCACCCCTCCAGTGTCGCGGCGCCAACTAATCTTTGCCTTTTCTCTTTCAAGATCAAGGGAGAAAGCAAGGCGGAGGCTGGCTTTGGACTCTAAGCGGTGCGCAGCTCGCGCCTGAGCGGCCGACCCAGAACCCGCGAAGGGCTCCTTGCTCCAGCTAGCCAAATCGCAGCCAGGGGTGACCACAGGAGCTAAACCAACAGCAGGTAAGAGCGCCCCAATTCTCCGCTTGCTCACACCAGGGACCCTGGTGCGAGGGGTTTCCTCCCAATCTCCCTACCCTGGACACTGAGAGGTCGCGGTTTTCGGGGAAATGGAGGGGGGGTCCCTGACACATGCATATTTTCCAAAGGAAACTTTAGCCCCTGAGGCTTGGAGTTATGAGGGCAGCGAGGGTCGGTCTAGAAAGAAGGGGGAAATGAGGCACAGCGCAGGGTGGGGGCGCGATTACGCGGGTCACGGAGTCCGGAGGAATGTGGCGAAAGCAGCGTGAGAGACCCGCTGCCCCGCAGCATCACTCCTTAGAGCATGTCATTCTCTCCACTGTCACTGAACCTTCTCCCAGTCAACCCCTCAGCCCAGATGCCTTCATGGAAAAGACTAGAGAGCTTTGCTTCTTCCGCCCTCAAGCTCCTTTCTGCTCGGGGTCTGACCATGTCGTCCGTGCGTTAGGGTGGAGGCCCTGCTGCTCCTCTCTCGGTGTTGTCCCTGACTCCGCCTTCGGAGCAGCCCCTCCAACGCAGGAGAGAGGGTTGGCATTGCGGTCCCTGTATCAAGGCAAAGGGGCAGGTGAATAAGAATGGGGGACGGTTTCCAGGACAAAAGAGAAGGAAGCCTTCAGCCACCCAGTCCAATTTGTGAGGGGCGCACGAGGTTGGCCACTGTAAGACGGGGTCCCAGCTCCGAACCGGTGAGGTTCAAGACAGTGCCTGGGCTTTGCCACCCAACTCGCGGTGTGGACTGGATCAGCCCACAGGGCCATGAGGTCGTAGATAGGGAACTGCGCCCCTGAATGTTCCTCGCTGGACCTGGGCAATCCCCGCTAACTTGTAGCTTTCGGAACCCGAGAGGTGCGGACGGTCCAAGCGCAGTGGCGCGTAGAACACGCAGAAATTCCACCTGCGCTCTCTGCCCCGCGCCCCTGGTGTGACCCCCGTGGAGTAGGTGGAGGTTTGCCTAGGAGAGAGCTCCCGTAGTGAAAATTCACCCAAGTTATTGACTCAGAGTGGGCACACACCCTGAGCTTCCGTGCTCCTTCAGCACCGCAGACCTTTCTCTACTTCCTGCGAGTCGCTGTCCTCGAGGCTGCTCTGAGCCATCAAATCATCCAAGGGAGGGTCGACCGACCCGCCAGCCCCTGACTGTGATCCCAAGACTCTGGCATATATGGAAATATCCGCGGAGAGAATCGCTTAAGAGGAGGGAGGAGAGCAAAAAAAATGGAGGTAAACGCTGAAGGCAAATAGAACTGCCCGCTGACATGTCACCCAAGCCGCCCTCTTGTGTCCTTATGTCAGTTCACGGCCACGGCATGTCTGTGACTGCAGCTATCCAGGGCTCCAAGTGCCCGCCCAGGAGCGGGGAGCCCTGCCAGAGAGTGGCGCCTCCGGTTCTCAAGCTTGAAATGGAATCCCCCCACCTTGACTTTCTCTTTCCATTAGCTTCTGTTTCTTTCTTTCTTTTCTTTTCCTTTTGTTTTGTTTTGTTTTTCTTGCTTTTTTCTTTGCATTGGGTGTCTGTGAGTACTTTGGCAGGCTTGTGGTGTGTCTGTCCCCTAGTACACTCAACCAGAGACAAAAACACACGTCCCCATCCCCACGCTCTGCCTCATACACGCCAGCGCTCTGCGCACAGTCTGGACAGCCCAGGGCATCTGTGGCCAGGGCACCCGCACGGTTTCAGACTCAGCCCCGCACAGCAGAGGGGAGCCAGCTGACTCCAGAAAGTAACTCTGGAACGACTAGAAAGGCCTGCAGTAAAACTATATTTGGATGGGGAGTGTGGTGGGGGAGGCTCTGGGAGGAACAACTCTGCGCTTCCCCTATGTAGAGCTTTGAGTGCTCCAGAGGCTGCTGTACCTCAGGCCTCTGTCCCTACTGCACAGGCCACTGGTTGTCCCCTCAGAAGCCCACCCGAGGGGGCAGCAACCTTACTCTAGCCTGCCCAGGGAAATCCAATGGCCTAGTGCTGGGGTGCGCCAGAACCTCTCTTTACTCTTTGCAATCCTGTGTCCCTGGATTGAAGAAGCTCTAAAAATAAAGCAGGTCATAAACTCCAGGTTAACTAATTCTGGATTGTAAGGTGAAGCCCTTCACATTGTAGTTTGCTTTTAATGGGGATATGTGTATAAACAGTCATGATAAGGATATGGTAGAAGATGGGCATGTGTGTGTATAAAATAAGAATTTTCCTTTTTAAGTAAATAATAGGGATGATGATACTAGGAACCAGTACAAACCAGTAACAGGCATTGGGCATGTGTGTATCATCATTGTTGGGGAATGATAACCAAGGCACTGATGATTGTAGAAGTAAAACCACTTGATTTGGCCAAGAAACAGTTTCATGCTGAGAACTCCATTAGGCTGCAATTCAGAGAGTGGACTTTTGAGACTCTGGTCAAAAGGATGGTAAAATTCTGTGCCAGCAATATCACAGCTTTGCAGGCTGGGCAATTAAGGTCTCAAGAAGTAATGCTAATGCCATAATAGTTTTCTATTGTTATTAAGAATATTAATAGTGGTGCTTCAGTTGTGGAAATATAAAAGATAAGCAGCTTCCCATTTACTCTGTTTGCTTTACTGTACTAAATAACAGTTCCAGCTACACTTAAAATTAAAACTTCTCCTTAAAAGATATAGGGACTCCAGCCAGGTTGGTTTGTTTGAAAGCTCCGTGAATGAGGTGAGGTGGGCATGGTTGAAAGTCCTCGGACTCAAAATTCAGAGTAGACTGCCTGACAGATGCTTTGTCTTCTGATAAAAGCAAAAGGCAATGTTTGTTTATATACGTGTGCCTGAGGGTGCCTGGAGGGGAAATGGAATGAGAGAGTAAGTGGATTTGAATATCCCTATCATAGTTCAAGTACAAGAGAACTCAAAGAACATGTTTGCAGCTCTTAACTGACTTCAGAGACAGATGTGGAAGAAATGAGCAGTTCAAACCCAGGTAAAATTCCTTTTGGAATGATTTCCCAGATTCTCTCAATTTGGGATGACAGAGATGGCTATCATCACATTAAAAACAACAACAGGCTGGGGATATAGCTCAGTTGGTAGAGTGATTGCATTGCATGCACAAGGCCCTGGGTTCAATATCCAGCACTAAAAAACAAACAAACAAACAAACAAACAAACAAACACCCACCAACAACCAACAGGCTACATTGCTCTAAATGTGATGTTGGCATCTTCTAGACAATCTCCAAAGTCAGGCAGCTGTATGCATGTTCACTGGGCAGTTTCCCATTTCCAATCCTCAGCAGCCAGCCACCAGGACCAAGGGCACAAGAGGGATGGATGGGCAGCTTCAGAGGTAGGAAGAAAATAGCACAGTCACCAGCCTGCTGGCAGAGAGGGAAGACACGGAAGGCATAAATGGCACAACCATCAGTGGAGAAGAAGCTGGCTAATTAGAAGTCACTCTCTGACCCTTGGCAATGAATAAAGTTAAAACAACTACAAAGGAGGAGGAAGAAGAGAATACAGAATAGAATGAGAGAGAAAAGAGGAGGGAACAAACGGGAAATAGAGGGAGGAGAGCAGGAATCTGTGGGTGTGCTGTTTATTCACAGTGCAGGGATCATCTTCTGTCCCTAACGTTGGCCTTCTTTAGGTTATTGTGTGAAGATCCATTGTTTTCATATTTATTTTTTAGTTATAGGTGAACACAATGTCTTTATTTTACTTTATGTGGTGCTGAGGATCTAGCCCAATGCCTCACACATGTTAGACAAGCGCTCTTCCGCTGAGCCACCACCCCAGCCACCCCCATTCTTAATCTTAAAATTTCTTCCTTTTACTAAGCAACATAGAGATAGATAAACATTTTATTACACAGTTTGCTTGAAGGGCTGATCTTCTTCATTAAAAGTGATACTGGAGTTGATCCAGTATTTTATGATGCGGGGTCTCTGTCACACGCCTCCTTGTGTTGAACACTGTCAATATCTTCCTTGTGGCTATTAACAACTGGCTTTTGTTTCCTATCATCTGTTCCCATTCTGTTTCCCTTTGGCTCACAGAGAAAATGTTAGGACTCCTTTCATTAAGGGTCATCAATTCAAGTGTGAGGACTACATCCCCAAGCTTCTCTGCATTCCCAAGCTTAACTGACTGGGTTGGGTTGTGGTGTTGGTGGTGTTTGTTTTATGAGGGCGTGGGAAACAGGTCACCTTTCATTGGGCAGGTATCTTCAGAGTATGTCATAAGTCTCTGGTACCATCCCAATCAGCTTACATGAATTATATTATGTGTTTTGTTAGTGCTCTATATTTCTTTATCTTCACAACTTAAGATTGTGCCAGGCACATCCTAGGGACTTATTTTATCTTTGTTCACTGAGTAAATTGATTGTTTGATTTGCTCATTTCATCATTGCAACAAAATTAGAAGCAGCTGCTATTTTTCTGATTTTATAGGAAAGGAAACCAGCATTCAAAGGGTCCTAGATCATACAGCCTGTACGATGCAGCCCCTGCATGCAAACACAAGCCTGTCAGACTCCAGTCTTCACTCCTGTACTGTGCTGATTGGCTCTCTATACATAGCTGTATCATTTGTTTCCCCCTATGTTTAGGGAATGCAAACTGTTGTATTCAGAGTTCAATGACGTTCTACCCATCTGTTTAATTCAACTTTGCATGTTCTTGTTGGATCCCCTAAACCCTAAGCAAAGAAGATTCAGTGCCAACAAGATTCTTAGTTGGCACAACATGCTTATTCTATTTAGTCAGTGATTGCCTCCGGCAGGGGAAAACAAAGGCACCCAAATTACCTGACATTTTGGCAGATGCCATTTCCACTTCTCAGCTATACTGAGATATTACTGAATGGATTTTGTTTTGTCTGAAGAAAAAAAAAAAGAGGAATTTTGGTATCATCCAGTCGAACTCATGACAAGTGTTGAAGTGGACAAATAGAGTTTCCCAAGGTGACACAGCTAACCAAGAACTGCGCAAGAACACCACATGCCAGCTTCTAGTCTA